ACCAGGAGAACCAACGCATATAAATACGCAATGATGGCCACATCGTGGCTCAAGGCTGGACACGAGCGGACTCGGAGGCAGGAGTGGAAAAGGTGCGAGGACGCCCTGGGGACTTTAGGATAGGATAGGTTGGTAGAGGTTAGAAGGTAGGTGCTACTTTTGTGATCTCCTGACGGAGTCACATGTATACAAGTATCATCAATGATCACTATTTTTGAGAAAGGCATTTACTAACAATTGTCATGCACTGTTGCTGATAATTGGATATATCCAACCTCTACTTTTGAAAGATGGAAATCAATGTGTTTCTTTATGTTCCCCAAACGGTTTTCTGTTGGGGTTCTATCTTAGAAGAAAAAGGAGCTGGCCACACTCACTGGCCGCGCCCCTGAACTCTCTGGCCAACCTCTGTGGCCGGGCTCTGTGGCCGGGTCTTGTCCTCCTGTTGTTCTCCAAACAGTTTACTGCTGGGGTTCCATCTTAGATAAAAATGGCTGGCCACACTGACTGGCCGCGCCCCTGAACTCTCTGGCCAACCTCTGTGGCCAGGCTCTGTGGCCGGGTCTTGTCCTCCTCTTGTCCTGCTGTTGTCCTCTGGCCGCGCTGACCAGCCCTGGCCACACTGACTGGCCGCGCCCCTGAGCTCTGTGGCCGAATCGGAGGCCCGCGAAAGAAGCGGGTTCGCGTAGGGGCCTGTCTCATACTGTTGATTGATAGGGCGCCCGAGAATGTGCCTGTGAGACGCATTGGACATTCTTACTGTAACCTGCTAACAGTTAGAATATGATTTATAGAGTTTTCAGTATTTAAGTGTATCCTCCAGATTCCGGCCAAAGTGGAACCAGGTATGACCACCATGCAGTTAGAATATACATATTCTATCTGCGGTTGTTGAACTGCTCCTGCCTTGCAGAATGGCTAGGTGTGAATGCTTCAGATGGTTGGAGGCCATCGCTAGTAGGTTGGCGGCCATGGCTAAATCGTGAAGTCAGTCTGATGCACCTAATGGTTGCTGAGTTGAAGTGACCATCGCGATATCTTACATAGCATCATTGCATCACCGTGGAAAAAAAGGCAGTTTCAGAGTCCACGTGTGGTTCTTCTCTTCAGCTTTTGACGCTTCATCTATTTTATAAATATATGACACTTGGGATTCTCCAAAATGTTCTAAGTGCATTGAAAAATATAAACCGTATTCTAATTTCCGGCAGTTTACTGTAATTTTTAATGAACATGCTCAACAGCTAGAGAGGAGTGTGGCCGAACAAGGAAGATGCCGACGCCGACAAAGTCATTGATGAAGCAGTTTGGTGTTCGGGGGAAAGTACGGCGTACCAAGAAATCGTTTTTGACTAACATTGGTCCAAACGAATCGGCGTGAAACTGTTTGGGGTCTATGCTTGGATACTTCCATACTTTGTAAAACCTCATGAGGTTTGTAAAACCTCATGAGCTGGGGTCGTGGGGATTCTCAGGATTGGAGGATCGAGATTCCGTCAGAGATGGTTCCGAGAAGATTGGAGCGTCCTTGATGATGAGGAGGTTTGGAAATGTTTGGAACCTCCGTTGGATCGATCAATGCACACTGGTGACATGAAATGAGAACAATGACCAGTTCACATTAAGACCATCGTGATTGTTCATTGTTTGTGCATACTTATGCATATTCTATATAGTCAACTTAACTAAACGTTCGGAGAATTGAGAAAGACTGCGTAACAGAAATTTCATATTGTTTTTGTACGAGGGAGACCGGTCATGTGGACCCCTCAATGACTCAAAGAGAAGGCTTCATGTATTGCATGTGGGTTTGTTTTTGAAATTAATTAGGAATTTCCTGTATGTTTCTCCTGCTGCGTTTCGGTGGTTTGCGTCCATCGTGGCTTACTTTCCGGGCCTTTTTACATCCATCAAAATATTGAGGATATACCGATATACCTTCGTGTTGCGTTGGTTTGTTTTTTTATGTTTCTGTGTTTTCCCACTGCATTGTTATGTTGTGTTTCCTTTTGATGTGTTTTTTTCCTTATCATGTCCTTACCTTTTCTGCTTTGGAAGACCCGGAGAGGCCAGAGAAGGAACAAGACAACATACCACAAACTAGACTGTAATTCCAAATTGAAGTTCAAAACCCAAAGGATTCTAGGCTGAACAGATCGATCGCTGGGATATCCACCCATCTTTGAGTGTCCTTAAAGATCCTTTGTTCATCCCTACTCTATATTTGAACGTTTGCTCAAGAAACCGGAGAGCAATTACCACATGCTGAACCTGTAAGTTGGAGAATGCTGAGAGTGTCGATGGTTCAATGGCCAGGAGATCTTTTCGTCGACACTCCCCCGGGTGCAGCTGCTGATACTCGATTTCTGGCAAGAAGACAGTCACAAACTCTTCATTGCTTGTGCTGAGAATCGCTGTGATGAAGTCGAATTCTTACTTCAGAAGCTTGCTCAGGTCTCAAAAGAAAGGATTTGCCTTGTTTTGTTTTTTATTAAAGGGACATTCGAACAGAGTGGCCTTTATCTACTGGGGATTAGCTCGGAGTTTCCTTGGGACAGGGCCAGTTGTTGCTTGGCTGTTCTTGGCTTCCTGTTTGCTTCCTGTTTTGGAATGTCACTGAATAGCAAACTGTATCATCCCTGAAAGAGAAATCCTCCATACGAGCCACACAACATCAACTCGTCTTCGAGTTCATCCACCTGCAATCCTGCAGGAGCTGAGGGAAACAATACCCTCTTGTCAGTGGTGGTCCCGTGCAAGACATGAGCATGTTCGTTTCAACGAGGCTTCTTTGTTCCACCCCTAGGACTCAGAATGCTCAGTGGCATCCCACTTGACTTGACTGACATCCAAACCACCTTTCTTGATACGTTTTAGATCCTCTTTGTCCATATTTCATTGTCTCGGCCGGTCAGTAAGGAAGCCCATGTCTCCAGACCTTGCGGATGAAGCTGGACAGACAGCACTGCACATGACCGCAAGCGCTGGCCACTCACAATGCCTGAGCCTTCTGCTGGAAGCCAAAGCAGCCTTGGACCAAGCAGATCTCTTGGGCAGAACAGCGTTACATTTGGCCGCGAAATTCCGTGAGCCAGATGCTGTGCAGTTGCCCACTTGGCCATTACGTACATGTTTTACTTTTGGACACAGTTGGACCTTTTAAAGGCGTTTAGAGGCAGGGCAGTCATGAGATAAGGTTGCTGCTAGCAGCTGGAGCTGACCAAGACAGCGCTGCCAACGATGGGACCACGGCTTTGCATCTCGCAACTGAGAATGCGGACATCAAAATCGTACAGCTGTTGCTTGCAGCAGGGGCTGACAAAAATCGAGCCGCAAACAATGGGAATACAGCTTTGCATATAGCCGCAACTGTTGGTCTTCCGGAAGTTGTGCAGCTCTTGCTAGCCGCAGGGGCTGACGAGAACAAGGAAGGGATGTTCAGGACAAAGCCATTCTACTGGGCTGCCGCGAATGGCAACACCGCAGTCATGCAGCTGTTGCTCAAGAGCACCATTCACATGACCAGAGCTGAGGTGATGGAGGCTTTGGATGCCGCGGCGATGTTTGGACACCGCAAGGCAGTGCAACTCTTGCTGAATGCCTGCACTGGCCATTTGCGCTCGAAGGACATTCGCGCTGCCTTTCTGTCGGCGGTTCGGAATGGAAATCTGGAGATCATGGTGGCATTGCTGAAAGCATGGGAGCGACACCAGATAGCCAGGCACAGAAACGAAACCGCTGAAGTGGCAACTCGAAGCAGATGCAGTGGTAAAGGTATGACTACCTCCGCCATTACAATAGCAGCTCCCCACACATTCGGGGACTGGAAGTGTACCTGAAATCAAAGTAGAACAATGGGTTCCGATTCTCTTTTTTTGCAGCATGTTTTGCTATGAAGCCAAGCCATGCCAGTGAGCGGCAAGAGGCTGCTCAAAGCACATTTTGTCGCGAGCTGGGTCCTATGGACGAATTAAATCGGCAGCCTCATAGGGGTTCTTAATTACTCCCAATTACCATGTTCCACTTCGATGTACAAATGCGCCTGAACCATTGAACCATTCAAACGGCACAACGTGTCAGTCCGTTGGTCGAAACCTCTACGAGGCTGCTCAACTGGTGAAACAGACTTTCAACATCGGTCGCCGTTGCGATCTCCAAACTGCGAATCATCACCATCAGAGCCAAACCATGGCAAGCCATGTGCAAATGGATTTTGGCTAAGCCATATTTACATATTATCGTATATTTATCGTGTGTGTGTGTGTGTTTGGGTGTATGTTCAAAAGTTTTGGTGAGGAACATGCCACCTTTGGCCTTGGCAGGGTTTGAAAATGCTTGAACATGTTTGGCCTTGATGTGAGATCTGTTGAATTCGTCCAAACCGTTTGGACTTTTGACATTCACGTTCCACGGGTTTTGTGGTGTCGTGAGACGAAGTCCTTCGGAGGTGCCAACATACCTGCCACCCTTTCAGGGATGCTTGAACACGGCTACAGAGAATACAATATGACAACTCCACCCCATCCCAGCCATCGGTTCACCAGTGAATTGGTTTTCTAGATCTCCGAAGTACTTGTACAGGCATTTTTGTGCTGTAGTTTTGATGATTTTGTCCTGCTGCCTCCGTTTGAGTGAAGCAATCCAGGTCGACAGAATGATTGATGCCAAACATTGGAGAATCAACTACTTAGACGTACTTAGACTTAGACAGCGGATTTGATGGAGTCCTACCAGTGAAAATGGGTTGTGCATGGTTGTGTGTTTCTTGTGCCCACCAGACATCACCAGACATACTGCTTGCTTTGAAGAATCAGTTCTGTCGACACATAAGAGCCAGTAGAGTGGAGACCAGTTGCAGTGAAGAAGTAGCTGGACTCAAAAGAATGTCGCAAGGGTCCAGGGTGGTGCCAGGAACAGTGCACTCCTCAAGTTGTGGCATTTACATTTGGCGTCAGTGTCGAAGCAAGTCATATGAAGGATGTGATAGCACGTACTTCCAGGCGGGAGCTGAAACTGGCTTTGACCTTACGGGCAAGGCAGGGGTACTTACATTTGTTCCAAAACTGTGCAAGAGAGCTTGTGTGTGGGGGGGGTTACACGAACGCGAACGCGGTGCCAAAGTTGTTGACTTCAGAATGCCAAAGGAGCGCTGGTCTTTGCAATTGTGCTGCATGCGCAGTTGATGTATTAGACCAGCATGGAACTATTCGGAAAGTCACGGATGAAATGTTTGCTCGATCCCTCTTCACGCTTCCTAACCTTTTTGCATGATATTCTAGCTCCGCCAGGTCGCTTTGGTCACAGGCGCATCGCGAGGCATCGGCGCTGCGATTGCTGAGAGCTTGGCCAAGGCAAATCCAGCGTCCATCGATGCGTTCGACATCATTCGACCAATGACATCAGCCTTTCGAGTGATTTGGGATCCCAGCGCTTCGAGACCGACCATCCCTTGCTTCCCTGCAGGCTGGCGCAACAGTGGTTGGCACCGCTACTTCAGATTCTGGGGCAGAGGCACAACGGACACCCTGGAATGAAAAGTGGTGAGATTCGCCTGTAGCATACAGTTGGTCGGTCCTTTGTGTCAGGCCCTGCAAGCCAAGTTACAAGACGATATAAGAAATGGTTTTATAGTTGGCTTCTAAAGTGAAATTGACCTAATAATGCCTAATAAGGTTTGCTTGTAAGAAGCACCTCAGGAAGTTTCACAAAAAGCTGAATGAGCCAGGCGATCTCTGCCCGCATGGGCGATCAATGGGGGCAGGCCAGACAGTGTATTTGTTTGTGCAACATATTACGTATAATTTTGTGTATGTATATGTATGTATGTAATGTAATTCAATGCAATGCAATGTAATGTAATGGTATGTAATTGTATGTTTGTATGTATGTTTGTATGTATGTATGTGCAGACATGGTCGGTCGGTCATTGCAGAGACTCGATCATGACCAGCTTCAACAAACTTCTAGTAAAAATTATACGCATGTGGGTTTATGTTTGGCTAAAGTCTGGAAATGTTTAAAGCTGCCGTTATTGGTGCCGTCAGGTTCCCTTCGCTAGAAAGTCGGCAGTTCTTCACATGACATCTATTATTGCTTTATTTTTGCTTCTACAGGGCATGAAGCTCGATGTCACCGACTCCAAGAATGTGGAGGAAGTTGTGAAGGCAGGAAATTGGAAAGAACATAGAAACAACTATGAGGTAAGACAACTCGGACGTGTGGGTTGAAACAACAAGAAGACAGATGCGCGAAGCACTGCTGTGGGTTGGGTAGATAGACTGTATTTTGTTGTGTTTGATATTTTTTGCCCGCTCCTACTTAATGAAGTAATTAAGTAAGGAGGAATGGATGCAGGATAGCTCACTCTTCTTTAAGGAAGCTCCCCTGCCTGAGGGCGGGAGGGAGCATCCTTGAAGAAGCACTCGCACACTAATCACTACTGTAGATTCTTAACCAACTCACTGCGTGTTGATTTGATGTTCCTCGGCCCTTAGTTGCAAATGTGTTGTTCAGATCAAAGTATGTGAAGGAGAGACGTTGTGTGGCTTGGTGCTGGAGTTCTGATACGAGACGAAACACCTAGTCAGTTAGTCACGTGCTTTGCCGAACAAGGCGGTGACAGAGAAGTATGGGGCTCCAGATATTTTGGTGAACAATGCCGGAATCACCAAGGACCTGATGCAGACATTTGTAGACGGATTCCCTCCTTCGATCTTTTTCGAGTCTCCGCTTGCAATCTCAGTGTTGAATTCCAAACGTCAGTGCAGAGGCTTCCGAAGGTTCGTGCTAATTCTGCCGTGTTCTAAACATATCTAAACAGCGTTGGTCCATTGCCTTGCTGCTTGGTTTGGGCGCAGCATCCACCAGATGCCAAGCAAAATAGTTGAGCAATTGGCTCATTTTATGTGTGCCATGGTGGTTGCGCATTCGAACACACCGTAGAAATGGTTCTTCCAACAAAGGTTGGTGGCTGCAAGGGTTCCATAGGGGGTTGCTCCAAAGCACATAATTACAAATGAAAACGCGTTCATTTGCGTCGTATTCATTACCCCTAGAAGAGTGGCGCAGTTTTACTTTGTCAGGACACGCTGATGATGCGTGCCTTGTCACAAATGAGAGGCCAAGCATAGGTGAAATATATTGAAATATAGTGAAAATGGGACCACACCCAGCAAACACTCAGACAAGAATCTGGATGGTGCCAAAATTGCCGGCTATCAGCTGAGGCATGAAGGAAGATCAATGGCTGGATGTCAGTGCCTCACTTTCTCGCTCAGACAAGAATTGGATTGTTGTAGGGTCCAACAGTTCCAGTTCTTTGCAGTTCAGAGCCCTTTGTGACACTTGTGAACTGGCAAACTAACGATCTAGCGGCCAGAGCGGCAGCCACAGCGTTTGTCCCCTACCGGACTTGTCAAGGTTTTACATGTGGCTAAGTCTAGAATGCCTGCAGACGCCCAGGTCATCAACACCAACCTGAACTCAGTCTTCCGCATGACGAAAGCTGCAACAAAGGCTTGCCTTTGCCTGAAGCAAAAGAGTCTCATCATCCGAAACCCTTGCACTTCTTTGCAGTTTGCAGTGTGGATCAATTTGTTATTTGGTAGGGCATGACCAAGAAGCGTTGGGGCCGAGTCATCAGCATTTCGCCAAAAGCTCAGTTCCAATGTTAATGTATTTAGTTGGTAGGTGCACAAGGGGGCAGAAGATCTTGTCGCCCACTCTACATATCAAGGGGATGTTGCAAAGCTAACAGATAAGTTTGGATCAAGTTTTAGGAAGATTCCCTGATGTCGTGACATTGCAAGACACATCATGGTTCATTGAAAGAGAATCATTAATTTGATTGTATACAATTGAAAAGTATATGAGAGAGACAAGGACTTGAGGTCAACGACTAACAAATCCCAACAACTCACAAAACCCAACACATTGGATGTGGAATGAATGGCTTTTTGCAAGGTCTGTGGTCGGATCCATGGGCAATGTGGGCCAGTCCAACTATGCTGCAGCCAAGGCAGCAAGTGCTAGTTCAGACTCCAACTATTTGATGATAGCTGCAAGCATTTGAAGTTAACATAACTTAACGTAACATGGAGGTTGCAGGTGTGCTCATATGAGATCAAAAGGCTTTTGCAACCACTCGATGAATGTTGATGGTTTTCACCTTCGTCATGATGCCATTTGGGTCCTTTGGACTGTCTGGTTTTTCCTTTGCAGTCGCCTTGCTGTTGGGATGCTTTGGCACAACTCCTGCCAAACCATCAGGCTGGCATGGACGGCTGGACCCGTGCAATGGCAAGGGAAATCGGCAGTCGAGGGAAACTCGGCACAAGCAAATTGGCAATTGTTGAATGGCGCTTTGGACATGTACAAAAGGTGATTGACCTTTTGATCTCTCTCTCCCTCTCTCTCTCTCTCTCTCGCCCGCCACAAGGATTACCGTGAACTCAGTAGCTCCAGGATTCATTGACACTGCCTGAAACTCAGGAGGTTGGGTTTGGTTCATCAGAGAAGGTTTGGAGTGGCAGTTGGTGTGAATTGCTTTGTGCTGCAAAGAGTGCAAACGGTCAGCCAAGCAGGAATGTTGCCAAGAAATGTGCTTGGCCTGCTGCTTCAGTGCATTGCTTGACTGAGGACATGACAGCAGACCTTCCTGATGACTGGAAGGACAGAAAAGTTCAATGAAATTGATTTCATTGATGGCTCCTCACTTGCATTGTGTAGAGTCGATAGAATGTGATGGTTGCTTCTTTATTTTCTTGTTGAGGGTGGCTTGGTTGAGGCCATGTGTCCCTCCATGCCGCGTCGGCTAAGATTTAGGAGAAGGCCTCCGCAACTTGCAAAGCAAAGTTTCTAGCTTCAAGGTATCCAACAAACTGTTGGTCTCTTGGGGCACCTGCCTCAACAAACTCTGAAAGACTTGCCTTGCATAAGTACACTGTCGGAAGGAGAAGCTCTTGGAGAATGTGCCTGTTGGGGTGCCCACGTAATCGCTTTGCAGTCAGCACTGGTGTTACATATGCTGCTGCATTCGATTGATTTGACGAGTTGGGCTTGAACACGCCGCGAGTGCAAAGGCTTTCCAAAACAAGCTTTGTGCTGTTTTAGCAAGAACAATAGCGGCATAACGAAAAAACAAAACATTATGGAATTGCAGCTTTTGGACCCAAGCTAGTAGGTTGGAGGCCATCGCTACAAGGTTGGAGGCCATCGCTACTAGGTTGGAGGCCATCGCTACAAGGTTGGAGGCCATCGCTACTAGGCTGGAG